TCTCAGTGGCTCTTACCTTTTTAGTATAGCTATGATTTTAGTATAGCATGATTTTTTCCTTAAAAGGTGAGAGAGGTATGATTGACATACGCAAAAATACCAATCAGGAAACATATCGAGCCTCCTATAAAATAATCTATATTCAAGACTGAATTTATAAAAAAATAAAATACAATAAGTACTTTTAAAATATAACATAATGGCTGATGCCATTTTTCTCACACACATATTTTTATACAGTTGTCCAGATGGCCTTTCAGTTTCTGAATTAAGTCAGTCATTCTATTTAATTATCAAATTACCAAGTTCAACAACAATAAATGCATTCACTAGTATTCTTTATTAAAAGGCAGTAAGACTGCTTTAAAACGAGTCATAGGGGACTATTTCTTGGTATGACTAGTAGGGTGCATGTTCCCACTATAGGTTTCTTTCTTTTAAAACTTAGAGTTATTACTGTATACTTGATTATATAATGATCCACTTGTATACTTATTTGGAAGAAAATACATGGTTTTTTTAAACTATTTCTAGCCATTTTAGAAAACCTGAATTTAATGTGCCAAGATAGTGGATGAGCAGTTCCAGGGCCAGCCTTGGATAATTTGAAACGGAACGCTTTAAAATACTTGCAGTTTATAGCACACTGGGTTGCAGATTGGAAGAAATAGAAGATGAAGTATAAATCAAGTTATGGCTCAGGTCAGAACAGCTGTTTGATAGAAAAAACAATAGTTCATGTTTTTCATGCCCTGGCAAAATCTATGGGAGCTCTGACTCATTCAGTGGGTTTTATATACAGCCTCAGAACAATTTCTAGAGCCTTCTCCTAGACTTTTATCATGTGGTGATTTAAAGACTAAGTTATTTTGTTTAGCAGCTTTGTCCCAACTTTGTCAAAAGTCACTCCTGAAAAAAAAAATAAGATAGAAGGTTGATACAATCCGAATGTTCACTGAGGTAAGATCATCAGGTAGTCTCCTAAATGCTTTCATTTGACGTTACCGGAGCGTGGTGTCAAAAAAGTCTGCCTTTTTTCTGTTTCATGCAATGCAGTAGCTGAAACCATTGTCTCTTGAAGCTTGCTGTTTATCACATTGCCTCTCATTTATCGCTTTTGTAAGTAAGATAAAAGAGAGATGGATGTCTTCTAGGAAGACTATCTACAACAGATCTGTTAGTCTTTGCTCAGTCTCCATGGAACCACCAAAACAGTTACAGTGCAGCTGATGAATTAAGAAGATGAGTAAGTTACCAAAGGATTTCTTTTACAACTTGTGTCACAAAGTACAAACGCCAGAAAGCCTGTTTAAAGCTCTTGGCTAGGAGTCAGTTTACTTACTCCTAGCCAGGCTTCTTAAGTAAACAAGGTTTCTGAATGCAACAAAAAGAGGAAATGATCAGAAGTTTTAACAAGCAATATTCCACCTAGGTATTTGGGGGGGGGGGGGGAAATCATCACAAGCATGGTTAAGCACATGAATATGTTGTGCAAAGATGTGGAAGATTCATCCTTGAAGACACTTAGAATTTGACAGGACAAGGCACCAAGCAACATTATCTAACTTGGAAGTTACTCTACTTTGAACAGGAGGTTGGACTAGAGACCTCCAGAGGCCCCACCCAGCCATCGTTCTGTGCAATCACATTGTCACCTAGTTGCTTTTGAAGTGATCTGCCAGTTTCAGAAAAACTTGATTGACAGATAAGAACTGCAGAGAATAAATTCTTAGAATTGCTTCCTGGCATGTAGTCCTTGAGAGCTGCTGGTTTTATTTTTTTTCCTTTTTGGCCTCCTAAAAGGTGATTTTTGTTCAGCTCTTGCTGGCCACATAGCTCAAATCTGAGTCAGTCACATGACATTCTACCTTCTACCTTGCTGACAGTCAACTACGAGCGGGTAGAGGATTGTGGCAAGGAAAAGTGTGCAGACAGAGGAAGTCTATACTTCAGTTACGGTATGCAAAGTTACTGGAACATTTAGCTTTGTAAATTCTGATGACAGAGCTATAAAGTATGCAGTTACCTAAAGCAAATGCCTGGAACTTCAAAGTACTGGAAAACAAAAGCCATAAAGAAGAGAAAACAGTGTAATAGATGCACCCTGAGATATCTCTGAGATGGAAAAAAACTATTTATGGATAGAAATATTAGTCTACAATCTCACTTTGCTTCCAAAGTACAAAATACAACGAGCAAGTGGTTCATCTTCCTGTCTTTTACAGTCACGTAAATGAGGACATAGTGTAGTTGATGAATATTCTGCCATAGGTAGCAAGGCAAAAACACATATTAGATGCTAGGGTTTTGTTTTTGTGGAGTTTTTTTTTGGTTTGGGGTTTTTGTAATTTGTTTGTTGGTTTGGTTTTTTTAAGCACTTCCATGTACTTCTCTTCCATACTATTACTGCCATAATTCATGGTGACAATAAGCCACTGCTTCAGTAATACCCAATCCAAAAGATTCACATATGCAGAATCAAGCTCCTGTAAGTCATGCCAATTTTTAAATAAATAAATAAAAATAAACTTGGGGTTCTCAGTTTACATCTTGACTTAGGAGTCACTAAATGACATTCATCATCTTTTTCATTCTTCCCAAAATATGAAGATAAAAATAGCAGAGTTTTCCAGTAGTTTCTGACATAATTGTCTGATCCTAAGCAGAATCCGGGGCTTTGAACTGCAGTGCTATGCGGCACGAAATACACTGCAGGTTTTCAAGAATGGGTAACGTTTCTTTGCATTATAATTACATGGAACTTTAAACATACTGCAGGAAAAGTATACTACAATGGGCTAGATTTGTTGTTTGGACTAATACCAAGGTAATATCTTCAAGTAGTTCAAAGAGGCATATGAGATCACTCTTCCAAGGAGTCGACAATCTAAAGTCTAATGGAAGATTCTTGCAAATATGCATATGCAGTATTTACTAGTAGCCCAATTTTACACCTATCTAGGAGGTATTGAAATACTTAACTTGGTTTCATCCTACTGCACCAGTTCATTTGGATTTAAATATTCTCCTGCCACATCAGCAGTTTCAGCATAGTAACTTTGGACCGGTGCACAAGACAAGAAGATAAGATTAGGATTTAATACCAGGAAAAAAAATAAAATTAATTACTCTTCTATCATTTTCCAGGACTGACGAAGCCCAGAAAGTAAACAAGTTAAAAGCCAATCCATGTAGCTGACCTTTACATCCAGAGTTTACTTAGCATGAAGTAAAGCGGCGATGGCACTGCATTATCTGACTGGTTCTTTGGAAACAAATGGAGAGGGCAAACAAATACAGCAAATCCATCTACGGGCTATGTGGTTTCTCATGGCACTTCCAAAGCTTCATTTAAGAGATCTGATGAAAGACTGACTCACTCTGAGAGACTTGCATTTAAATTAATTTCCTTCTTAAGTAGGAGTTTGATATTCATGGTTTGCTTTCAAAGATATTTTTAGTCAGACTATGAAACCTGAAAAGCTTCTCCTCAGAACTGGATGCAAAATGTTTGGGTTCTATAAGCTAGAGACATGGGAATTTGGCTGGTGGTTAAATTTTTTAAAGGTTATACTGCATGTTAAGCAGTTTCTTCCTTCAATTAATGGGGTAATTGTAGTAGATATGAACCAAAATGTATATATGGAACATTTCTGTAAATTCCTAACTTATTAATTTTTGATGGTTTATGAATATTTAATTTTGCATAATCCCCACGTGTCTGTCAGTGGCTACAAAATGACTCTACACTCTTCCTGTAACAATTTCCAGACAGGATTGAACACTCAGATGATAGGGTTGCAAGGACCATATGCTACAAAACCATTATCTTGGAAAGCAGAACTGTAACTAGTAACTGTATTTGGGAAAACATGAATGTGGCCATTCACCTGTTCAGCAGAGAAACTTAACTCCTGTGAGCCATAAACTGTTTCATATCCTACCAAAGGCTAGTTCAGTCTGGGTTTTTTGACATGTAACTGTGAATACAATTTACTACACATCCTATTCTTTGTAACTTTAAAGACCACCTGTCTTGAAATGTTCTGGCCTGGATTTTAAGGTACCTAGTATATTTCCTTGAATTAAAAATAAAGAAAAAGTAGTAGTAGTGAGATAACGAAGCATTTTCTGCAGTGGATTCTCAGCTCCGGGGTTTACTTAATCCTTTGCTCCATAGCTACAGGGCCTACATATACTTGCAGAAGCATAAAGAATTGCTTTATAATGTGGACACACTTTAAGTTTACAATGGCTGACACTGATTAGGCGCTACACCTCTGATTTGCTTCTTACTGTCTCCCACAGCAGACCTTGGTCAGCACTGTTACCCACTTCCGTGCCAAGCACTACCCGACATTGGGCTCACAGTGGGGGTTAGAGCTGACCACTCTGACCCTGCACAGCGGACGATCAGCATTATCACTCTGCAGTGTAACCAAAAGGTGTTGGAGGCAAAAATACTAGGTCAGAGTACAGTAAGCACTGTTCAAACTCTACGAATATTACAGGTAGAGTTTAATGTGCAATCCACATGAAAATGTAACCCTGAAAACACAAAGATACAGGCTCAGTCAGCTCCACAAAGATCAGAGCATCTTCAGGAACATTTACGCTTTTCTCTTTAAATCAGATTACCTGAGATTATTCAGCAATGCTTTTGCATCATATTTCTCCATCTAAAACCAAAAGACATGTGTCTGTGCTATTATTTTGTGGAAACAATTATCTCAGTACTCCAAGTGAAATGGAGTTATTTTGTTAACTACATCAAAATAACAATATCTTTCTAATTTGGACACCGGAGACTCAAACATACTGAGCCCTAAAGAACTTCATTATTGTCTCATCAAGATCAATCCAACCCATCAGCAGAGTCATCAGCACTCTCTTCCTCCCCCACATAAATCAATTCCATGCCACCTACTTTCTTTTTCTTTTTGTACCCTTGCACCCACCATTAGGTTTTTAGGCAGTTAAAAAAAAAAAAAAAATCTTACTCTTAAGTTTCCTCCTAACAGCTGCTTCTCTTTCAGTGCACAGCAATGTTTTCACAACTTCAGTTTGTGGCAAGGATGGGGTTTTTGGCTGCATATTGCTCAGGTCAAAGCTCCCAAGAGGCTGAGCAATGGAGATAGTCTGAGGGCTCTGATGGTGCTGGTTGTGGTTGCTGGGATCCCTCGTGATAGAATTTTTTCCTGAGAGCATAAAAAGATCAAGACAACTTTGTTCTAAGAACAAACAGTATCGTTTAACACTGGCGGTTTAATGGATAGAGCAGTTATGATTTTTTTTTTTTTTTAAAGGTAAATGCTGAAATTTTTCACTTGGCCTTACACCACCTAACACATGCAAGGGCAGACTTTGCTCCCTTACCAGCCCCACCATAGCTGCTGTAAGACAACTGAAGCGCGCTCTTTTTTCTTTTTTTTTTTAAAAAAGTGTCTTCCTTGGCAAAATTACATTAGATGCCACACAAATTTAACTTGAAAAGCAGCCTACCCAATATACGTGTGTTTCACTGCTTTTCTCAGGTAAAAAAAGAAATATCACATACGATCACAGCAAAACTATTCTCAGTTGCTTTCAGGCAACCTTACTGAGCTCAGCTTCTCACTTCATGGTAAGACAACTTCAGTAACACTGAAATAAACCTTCTGAAACGGCTCCCATAGTTCAGCCACTAAGAAATTATCTGGATTTCCTTGAAGACACTGTTTATGCCATACAACATTGGGGTCTTTCATTACTAAAGATGAGCAAGAGTTGTTCTAATCTTTCCATGTGGTTTTTAAAGGCAGTAAGGGATTGCCAGAGCACAAGAACTGCACTAGTCATGCCATTTTCCAAGTAACATCTTCCTGAAACAGCACTCTGCAAAATGAACGTACATATCAGGCTTACTGCAACAATGGGATACGCTTTTATGTTAAGCCACTTTGCTGGAGTTTCAATGTAAAATATCTAACACCAACATCTGCTCTGCAACTGACATCTGCTCTTCAGCTGACATCTGCTCCTGAATCCTTGTTATTCTTGGTCATTTTTAGTAAACATTATGTCATCCTTACATCTATCAGAAAGCACAGAAGAATAAATTCCAAGCCATATAATCACTGTTTCTTCTGCTTTCCTACATAGAGACAGTCTACAAGCACTGTTTATTTTCTTAATGTTTCATTCTCACTCGGACTTGTATGCAGGAATTCCTGCTTTCTGCTAGCATCATCCTAGAAGAGACTAAAGGCTCAGACTCAAAGAAGGGACAAAAGTGAAATTTAGTTAGTATTTAGATGACTAATTCCAGAATTGCAATCTTTAAAGCCTCTGTTAGATACCTGCACTGGTCTGTGACTGCTTTACTTCACATGCTCTTCAAGTTCTGCATTAGGTACCTAAACTTCTGTTGCCATACAAACCTGGCAGCGCCTTAATCTCTACCAAGCTGAAAAGCTGGGATATTTCTTATGCTGGTAGCCACAGAACAGCACCTCCTCACACCTGTCTTGCCTAGAGACCTTGATTTGGTAGAGGTTCTTAGGACATGCTTCCTAAATCAGGCTCTGTACGAAGTTCAGGGGTAGCTGATTCTTTCTGTTACGAGATGGCTAGATACAGCCACTGCCTGTATCATTTTTTTCCCACTTCCCCACCCTCTTCACACAGTAGCTCAACGAACTCTAAGCTAAGATATAGGAAGCTGGAAGGAGTGTGGGGGAGGGGTATTTCAAATAATAGCATTCATTCTCCTCCAAAAATGCTCAAATTATGAGCCCCCATTTTTCTTTTTTAACCATGTTCTGGGATGCATAGAAAAAAATCAATTCATTCATATAGAAAGAAAAAAAAAAGATTGATTCTTTACAAAAACAGGATAAACTTCTACTATAAAACACACAGAGGATGTAGGTACATTAGAAAGATGAAAAAGTGCCTGGGAATGTCACCAGGCAAGCAGCACAGAACAGCTCACATCCACACCAGCGAACATTCCTGTGCTTTCAAGCAGGCTGGCTGCAGGCAAAGTGCCCATTGGGAACAGCCCTTGGAACAAGCTAACTCCTGAACTGGGCCTGAAAACCATTTGGGGAGCTGCCCAATGCCTGCAACTGTTCTCACAACACCACAGTGCAGGTTAATCTTCTCCTGGAACGATTTAAGGCACTGTTTAATTTCTTACTGTGTATCTGGCCACATAATATCTGAAATGGAACTGAAACTGAGAACACTTTGGCTTTCCCTCCCTTAATTTCTCACCTAGGGCTAATGGTTAGGCATTACCATGATCTTAAATAACACATGAAAAAAAACACCTTCTTTAAATACTAAAAAAAAATGGGAGGGGTGGGAGGGGAAACCCATTTAGGGATCTTCAGGCTGATTCCTGTTTGCCAAGAGTACTTTTTGAATAAATGGATTTCTCTGTTTTAGAAGTGACAATGTTCATCATAAATTTTCTGCAAGAGGAACAGTTTACAAGAACTGTTGAAATATTCAAAAACCTACTGAAAAGTTAGGAGACTAAATCCGTTTCTAAGTCGCTTACACCTCTATAAACTTAAGTGACTGAAGCAGGACAATGTAAACTCATCATATGGATGCTCTTAGCTCAAAGCACATACCAGTAGAACATGGCAGTCCGACTAAAAAATTAGTTATTTTAAATTATTGCCCTTTAATTTACTTCTAGTATGTTAAGAGCAGACCAAGCATGGTATCCCAGTTCATGTGAGGTGCAGCATCTCATCAAATTACCAGAACCAATCACAAAAGCTTTTTGGACTCCAAGCGCAACTGGCTGTCAAAGGGTTTCCCTGGGAACACGTTACTTACCAAAACTAGGCTGAAGTTCTAAGTCTGCCAGGCAGTTCTGAAAAAACTGTTCAATGTCATTTTGTCATATCAAGGTACTCTGTTTCTTAAGACTGTTTATTTTTAAACAATAAAATATCCCCCTAGTTACTACTGTTGCTTCAGAACACCAGGATTTCCACCAATACGCATTACTTAAAATCATATTAAGATGTACATGGCATTAAAATTTATGCTAATTTACCTGAGTTTCTAACATAATAAGAATTATGAAATTAGTTTATTGAAAATTTTGCTATATTAAAAATTTTTAGTGCAAAATTTCACATGAATATTTTTTATATAGCAACAAAGTCAGTAGTAATTATTCTCTTTACATAACCAATCTATGGAAGAAAAGAAACTAACTTCTTTAGAAATCTTTTTAAGTTCTGACACTATTTTCCAAGCCCAAGATCTGTGATAAGCATACAGCACAGAAAAAAATCAGAAAGCAATAGAGGAATTTTGGAATTTAAGCTCTTTAGAAATTACTTTCTGCTGATTTCAGTCATGGTGAATAATAGATTTTAAGTGGTACCTACCCAAAGGCTCTCTTCCTTGTGATGGAAATTCCAGGTTACTAGAAACTGACACTTTTTCAACCAGCAATTTTGACAACTGTGTCCCAAGATATGTAACCTGTATAGACAAATCTAAATGGATAACTGGTCATTTTAATCAGTGTTTTTTTCTGATAGGTGTAGAAATTTCACTTTTCTTACAAAACTGAGTTTATTCACTTAAAGTCTAATCTGTGTCTATCAAGATCAAGCAGAAATTCTGTTGAGTCCTAAATAAAAAAAAAAAAAGCATAATACAACCCATCTGCAAAGCCCTCTAAACTCTGCCAGTATTTTTGCAACACTTGTCCTGGACACCCTGATGTTTTAATAAGCTTGCCCCTTTTTATTCTGACTACCTTTCAGCTTGTTCTGTTAGTCTCCTAACCATCTTTAAAACCACTCTTTCAAAGCACTTCCAGCTTACAGAGTGGGCAATCCACATTCTCCCAACATCACTGCACAGGCACAGCTGCGTAGCCCTTTGCTGCTTACTCATTAAGAATAAAAAGACTTAAAAATTTACGCTTGTGCCCTCTTTTGCTTTAAGAACAGTAAGAAGATCCAGATTAATTAAATTGATACTGCCATTTATTACTGCTATTTTGGGGAATAAAATCAGGCCTACCTTATTCCACACATACTTCCACGTCACAGAAATATCACCTCCTAGGAGGTCTTTAATCCAGTGAACTGGATTCTGAAGTATTTCTCCCTTACTGGTTCTGACCTTGCCATTGCTTAAGAGCGTGGCTTTATGACTAAATTCCTAAAAAAGATAAATTAAGAAATAATTTTTAAACTCATAAATTAACAAATCTGAATTAATATAACATGGAAAAAGGGCTGAAGAACAATATAACTGAAAAGTTGCAGCTAATTCGGCTTTTCTCTGAAAAAAAGTTGAAGAATTCAATGTCACTATCATAAACTGTGCTATGTAAAATAAGAGGATTTGTTCCACCAGAATAAGATGTTTTGGCCACACAGACACCACTGTCAGAGCACAAATCTCCCTGTGTGTGTTCATCAGAGCTGTATTTGCATCTTAGATCCTCTTAGACATAACAAAGCTGCGAATAAATTAATTTGCAGTAGTGAACTCAGGAACTCAGAAGAGGGCAAGTCTGCACCAAAAACAGTAAGCAAATGCAGTCTGTCTTACATGGGTGGAACAAATGCACATCACAGTGAAATTCTAGAAATTATTCAAAGATGAAACAGACTTGGATGAAAATTTCACTTTTGCCAAGGGACATCACTTACATGTTTTAGGAGAAACCTGGAAGCTTTATATTAGGCAAAATGAAGCACAAAAGACTTTACTGTTACTGCCTCTTTGATAATGCTAATACAGCCTGGTTCTCCAAACATATATGCATCTCCAGATGCACAGCTCCTTTTTTTTTTTTTTTTTTACACTTCAGTTCCTGTTTTCATATTGGTCTCAGTTAGGCTAACACAGCTAAATAACGAAAAAATTAGCTGTTGGTAAGCTCCACTAGAACTTAGCGAGGCTGCTTAGCATATGGGAGGTTAAACAATCAGAATAAGAGAATGATGCACCAGCAAATATTGAACCTTCTCCTACCATATCCACTGTCTCTAAGAATCTAAATTAAGATGTCTAACCCAAATATTTTGATGACCGCTCAACCGAGTTCACAGTTTCCAAGCTTAGGTCTACAGCATTCAAAAAAATGCATTCTGCCTGCCTAAAGTTAACCTTAAGTCCATACTATGCACTACTTGTATGTTGCATCAATTACATCTCTATAATGATGCACAAAGAAACTTTACTGATCATCTCCTCTTTGCAACTCAACAGACACCGGCTTCTAAACTTTAATCTTCGTAGCACTCTCTTCCAAGACATAAATGTCATTTTCATTCTAGTAAAAATCACTGACTTCTCTATGCTCCAAACATCGACATTTCAATACAAGGTTTTAATTCCTTAAGATCCACATGCACCAAGCCTGTATCACAGATAACATGATAAATTATAGTATGAACGCTGAATTCTTCCTCTTTCCATCAAGTCATCTTGAGGTTCAGAGGAATATTACATGTTCTTTAAAGAACAGAATCACCATGTACACCCATGACATGGCCCACTGTAGAGGCCTGTGACTTATATTACAAAACCCAAGACCACACAAAACGGACACTCTCAGCATTCCCAAGCAGATTATAGGTGCAGAAAAAGGAGTCTTTTTTACATTAACTACACCTAGGAAGTTGGCTGAAAAGAACCTTTCATGTTTTAATCAATATGTTGCCCTGGAAATTAACTAGCTCACAGCTGGGGATTCAGTCAATAATTCCATCATTTGCTCAATACCAAGTCAGTCCCCTGGCAGCCGCATTATAAATCTGCACCGTACTGGGAGGCACAGGGGCGTGATCTTGCATTAAAAAGAGAGGTTTATTTTTCCTTTTTTTTTTTTTATTTTTTCCCCCTAATATGATTTATACCAGACTCTAAACTATAGAACCAGCTGGCACATAAACAAGTAGTTTTGTATATATTCATGTCTATCACAGCACTATGAAATCCTTGATGTCCCATTCCTTGGTTTGAGGGACTTGATAGTTGCTTCCAAGACTCACATTAAGTCCCAAAAAACTTAAAGTTCCCCCTCCTTCAAACATGAAAATCAGGTATCACACATGTAAACCAACCAATGATTCCACTCTGGTTCAGGCAATAGGAGATGTTAACAAACTGATAATGCAAAGTTAAACACAAATTCTACATATGCATTATTCTGGGTGTGAAAATTGCGGGCTGACAGAGACATCATCCACAGCATTCTCTTTTAAAATCATAAAAGACTAACTGTGACCAATGAATAAAAATTTTCAGTACTAAGTGCTGAAGATGAAAACTAAACCACCACAACTGCTGTTTCCCCACTGGAGGTCTCTGGGGTTTTTTTGTTTTGGGTTTTTTTTTCCCATGATATGCCAATATTAACATTATTGTACCTGAACAATTACCTGCAGTTTGAATTCTAAGACATTTTCTCCTGGCTTAATCCTTCCCAGTTCAAGCAGATCTATCAACTGAGGCTTATTCCTATTTTTTCTTCCATAACTCACTTGCTTTTGTTCATGTTCCTGATTACTATAGCTCTTGGATGATTTCTGACTGAGGTTTACAGGATAATCTGCACTTGAGGTACGATTTGTTAGCAATGAGTTGGCATTAAATGAGTCCTCACTATTCCACAAGATCATTTGCTGCACGGTATTAGGGAAGTTCTTTGTAGATGATGACAAAATTACTTGCTGCTGCTGCTGGAAAGCTTCTTTCTTATTGACATACCTGTGTAGATCCTTATCTGTAAGAACCTGCTGGAAGTCACCGTCTGGTTGACAGACATTGTTATTGACAACAGTGCGTTGGCGTTCTACAGTATTTAATGCACCAGTCACTGAATTGGGATTTAAAGACTTGTTTCCTTGTCCTGCAATTGCTACACGATCAATGCCTTTTTGCTGTGAGCGCTTTGCTCCAGCAGTGGAAACAGTAGGTTCTGAAGGCAATGTCACCACTTCCACAGCATTTGTCAGCTTTGACATGTCAAAGGGATATTCTCTTACCCTGTTTTCAGATGCCAAAGCATGATCAGAAGCCTCTTTGGTTGTAATTGCTTCTTTATTTGCTCCTGTCTCGTCCAAGCAGATGTGTGGGTGTTGGCTGCATTCCTGAGCTGAAAATCTATTTTCTAAAGAGAGATGTGCTTCTACTCTGTTTCCATTAGGCATGCTGGCACCAAGCCCCATGCTAAGTGTAACTACATCAGGACACATGATTTCATCAGCAGTTAGACTTTGCCTTTTATCATCTCCACAGGAAATAAGTGAGTTTGAGATTTGATTCTCTGAACATGATGCACTGAACACTTGCTTTGTTTTTCTGTAATTTTGTATTTTCTGGACTAGTTCTTCCTGCTTTTGGGCAATACTCAACAGACTCTTTTGCCTAGAAACAAGATCAACTAATTGTTTCCTCAGTGCTCCTCTTTTAAAAGATTCCACTGAAGTCCTATAGGAAAAAAGAAAAAGAGGTAATATTAAGGACACTGGAGTTAATGTAAACACAAAACAAGAACAGTTTAATAGACATAACCCACTAAGAACAGGAATATGTTTCAAAGGACTCTGCCAACACCTAAAATTTGAACAATCTTTTTATCTTTTTATCATGTACAAAGTTTACAGTTCAAATCCCAGGCTTATGCACAACAAATGCAGAATCCTATCTATAAGTAGGATGCAAAGCACCAAAACTGCAGTAACAGCACTGTCCTCCTAGACTACCCTTAATTCATAGAACTGAAACTGGGTTTTCATTATCACTGGCCAATCTTTTATCACCACAAATCACAGTCACTGAATTCAATGCCTCTGTGGCTCTAATTTGGAGCTTTTTGAAATGAGCTCAGGATGAGCCACTGAAGAATGATACAATCAGACTTTTTTTACAGTGTACACACCAAAACATTTTGTGAAGCCACAGCTTTAGTAATACCACATAACCATGAAGAAAAAAGGACAGAGCGACTTAGGATGTTGTGTGTTAGTTTGGGAATGTCCCTCCCTCCATCACACTCTGGTCCCTAGCTGAGCTGGTCTACCTGTGAGACTCCTTCCCAGGGGACTTAATTTCTGGTCTGCTGGAAGTGAATTCCTTATTTCCTCCATTTCACATAAGAGCCACCAGCCCAGAATAATACTTTTTTCTCTAATTCCCCCTCGTGGGGCATGTGGTTGCACTACTGCTCTGGCACGATGCTGGGCAGAGAGGGGAATACCACAGGGTGTGGGAAAAGGAATAGCAGCATGGTTTGCCTTTCAGTGCACCCACAGCAGAGGTGCCACGCAAGTAACACCATCCCAGTCTCGGAACAGATGGAATGTCGAGGGGATCAGGACAGAGCTACAGCAAGACTAGTTGGTGCAGAACAAGGACAGTCAAACCCCAGCATGACGGTATTGGTGTCTGTACTGTGACACTGCTTGCTATCACACGTGTTTAGAATCAGTTGATCCCTGATATGAGTAAGCCTTGACAACTATGGACTCCTACACAGGCTACTGAGGCTCCACACACTTTTCTAGCAGTGTTCCTTCAGGGAAGTTCTGTTGCTTTACTGCTAAACAGACACAGAAGAAACTGCAACTGAAAAGGCAAAGATAGCACAGCTAAAATGACAACGATGAAGTAACTTAGAGCCACCCAAAAATACAGTGCCTTTTTTTATTTTTTTTGCTCATTTTTCTTAAGTGAGAGAGACATCTTAATATCTTCAAAGGAACGCATAGAAATGGAAAAGCATTAGGAGTATCTCTTCCTGGGCCAACTAACTGAACAACAGAAAGATGAAAAATGTGACGATGCCTCCTGATCTCCTGTACATTTTTGTATGGTGTGACAAAACCTTATATGCTAATTAGTTAAAAATAGAATGTTCACCATATAAATAATAAGAAGTAAATTTAATTCAATTTGTCACGTAGCTCATTACTTTTGACAGACAGCTATTTCATTAGCTGCAGGTTATCTGCAATACCCAGAAATATTTAACACTTCATTCTGGAACCCTGAATATTAGAAAGCAGGTAAGTTTGTGTAGATGTTAATTTTACTGTTCTTGCTTCCTAATTCAGTTGTTAGTATGTTCACAAGGATGATCTGGAAATCTCACTTCTCTTCACATAAAACCCTCTTTTTTGGGTTTTGTTTGGTTTTTTTGTTCAATTATTTATATAAGCTATGTATCTTACAATTTGTAACTGGCAAAGTGGTCTGTGAAAGAAATGTTTCAGTCGTTTTGCTCAACCAGCCTATACGGTTTGCCGTGGAACTACCTGAATGCTGTACGCTGTTGCTTTTTGTGACCAAACACTACTCAAGCAATATGTACAGTATATAAACAACATATGTAAACATCCTCACCAGATGGCTTAGAAGCCTCTGTGGAGCATGATGTTACACTGTTAGGTGAGCACTCACCACGTGACTAGCATTCAGGTAGTGCCTCTTGGAAGTAAAAAGAGGCCTTGTGAGAGCTAGCAGCAAGAAGCTGACAGTTCACATGGCCCATGTTCATACTGGGGTGAGCACTCCCAGCTCACACTTGAGGCACCCTCACAAAAAAAGAACATCTGCAGGCATGCCCCAAGCCATTGCTCTAAATGGCTCTTGTGGGCTGTTGGTTGAATACTCCCAGTCCAGGGGTGCTAAAGAAACAAAATGGGAGGCAAGGACACCCGAAGTAGTGTCTGCGTGGCTACTGCTTTCCTCCATGATGCTGAAAAAGTGATCTAATTGCTCAATACCTCCATTTCCTAATTTCTGCTTAGGTGCTTTCCCACACCTTTTGTATATTCAATACCTTATTTCAATGCTTGCTGTGTGCACAGCAACTGATTAGTATGCGTTAGCTTAACCCTGAAGTTCTTCCTTGATGTAAACTCTTACTGGAGGTAACTCAAGCCAGTAAGGATCATGCTCCGGCAAAATCTGAATGAAAACCATGCAGTTCTGCTCTCACACTATTGTATGCTAAGCTCCTAACAACCTCTAACACTACCGATATAAGGAATAGCTGCCTATAAATACAACCCTTGTCTTCTGCTTACCTGTATTTTTTAGCAAGGGTATCCCTTTCTGTTTTCTGTTTTGCAAGCATTTTATTCAAAGTATCTTGCATCTCAGCCAGCCTCTGGATATACACATCTGTCCAATATTTTGACACAATCAAAATGATGATGACAATAAGCAGTGGAAAATAATTATAGTAATAACATTTTTACTGCAGCAAATACACAGTCAAAGTGGGAAAATACTGCTACAGCACTACCTTATACTGTCATGCATACTGACAGTAGAGTACAAGCAATTCTTCATGGAAAGACTTAAATGCAAGTTTAACTTAAATTGAAATAGCCCAAGTACTGGGAAATTTTGAAGTGCAAGTGCCTTGTCTAGGAATTTACTAAGAGGATTGATTAAAGAACTGTCCTGTGGGTGATAAGCACTGAAACTTCTGAAGCTCTCCGTGTTGCAAGGAGCTGCGCAACATAAAAAATTATACATGAGGCTACCTGCAGAAGTTATACAATCTTAAGAAGGTGGCTGAAAACTTTATGTTTGAAGTATTATAAAATAGTTTAATGAGCTTACTGTTCTGAGTTAGATATAATGATAAAAACATATATATCATAGTTTTACATATTTTAAATCCGTATTATAAAATAAAATTAATAAGTTGTTATTTTTTGTTAGCTATATTTTTGTAAATGAAGAAAAGCAATTATAAATTCTTCTTTATATGCCCTATTTCTTAGCCATATAGCATCAGGAAGAGTTCAGAAGGCCAGCAGATACCTCTAGTATAATACACTAAACATGTAATCTAATTCCTAAAATTCTAAAACAGGAAATATGAGCTTTCCATAATCATGGAAAACAGAAAATTACAGGATTAAAAAAATAGCATTTGTAAAACATTTCCCCAAACGTTTTTCATAGTATCTACTAGTATTTACTTACCTATGAAAATTTTAAAAAAGCTGAAATTTTGCTCTTATTAAGGCACCTTATTACAGAATTTGAATCTATTATTTACAGTAGGTTGTACTGCATGCAAATACCTTGAGGATCTTATTCTATGTAAGACCGTCAATGTACTTGTACATTCTTGTCCAGTCTCCTGCCTTTTCATGAGTAATAACTATGATTGAGTTTAAGAGGTGCTAATTTATTAAGGCTTTTGTCAGCAGTGGCAACAGATCACCAGGTTCATTTTTCTCATATTCCTGAACTGGAAAAATCTGATCATTTTATTTTGCTAATATATTAAGCTGCACCAATCTCCTGTCTACAGGTTTCTGCCTATTGTATCATCTACCTGTTTGTCGGACATGCTTCAAGAAAACATAACTATTTGAATTACCAGTTTATATGCCATAAATTTAAGTTGGAAGTTACAAATCTGCACAATTCAGTATTTCACATTCATTCTTAAAAGGGACAAATTGACTATTTTAAATACAATTTGAAAGTTCCACCTTATATTCAAGAAAACAAATTTTAAAACCCCCTTCCTTTCTGCCAAGAAGCAAAACTGTTTCATGTGCGTGAGCCACTCCAAAGTAAACAGCCCTGCCTAGATGGCAAGAGCAGTAGAGGAGAGAGACT